TTAGGGTTTAGGGTTTAGGGTTTAGGGTTTAGGGTTTAGGGTTTAGGGGTCTTGGGACATTTCATATTTTACCCTTTTGGGGGTTAAGGAATGTTTTTCAGAGGGCTTTAGGGGCCGTCCTAGGAAGCTACCGCAAGCACTTGGAGTTGAGGATGCTGTGTTCGTTTGTCTTCTCGTCTCTTTGGTTTTTGTTTGGGCAAATGAGCTGCGATCCTATTCACTAACTTCTGAACTTGTGGGCTTCTTTGAGACAGTGTCCTCCCAGATTTGCAGCCCTGCAACCTTCTTTGACTACAATGTTTACAGCCCTTCAGCACCTGCCAGAGCTCAACCTTTCGCTTCCAAGCACTCGTGCTCAAGAGGTGGAGATGGTAAAATGTTTGGGGCTTAGGGTTTTCGAGTTTAAAGGGGTCTAAGGGTAGGTACACGGTCCCTTCGTATGGGCCCTTAAAGGGGGCACCCCCTTTTGTACCCTATACAACTCAAGGGCCCCTACATCAAGACCCTTTAAAGAGGGTAAGGGACCATATTAAGGGTCCATGGAACTACCCGTCAAGGTGGGGGTTGTAAGGCTGGACGCCTCATCTCGAAATCCATGCTTGGACCTTTTTGTGGCAGCTTTGAAAGGTGGTTCAGGTGGCAACAGGGTGTCTTGTTTTAGATGTGACCCGGTGCTTGAACTCGCACAGCCCCTAGATTTCCAGAACATGGGGTCTCTGCATTCATTCCAGCAGAAGTCCCTGTCCTCTAAGCTTTGGGAAAGTGAGGCTTGGGCAGCGGCATGGGCACTGGCAGGTGGGCTGGTGGCGGTATGCTTTGCACGTCAGGTTAAAGGGCTTGGAGTGTATTTAGATGGCTCTGCGCGGGCTGCTGCTTCTGGCTTTGCAGCAGCGAAGGGGTTTGAGGTTTCAGAGGGAACGATGTGTCAAGTGTCAAGGCGAAAAGAGGATGAAGAAAAAGGAGTGTCGAAACAGGGCCCTTGCTTGTAGAACAGATTCAGGGCCTGCATTGGTGGGATTAGCTCAAGACCTGACTTTCTAGAATTTTCCGGAGAAGCCATCAAGCCCCACTGTAAAAGGCTTTTTTGCCCCCGACCCACCCCCGGCGGCCTCCTGAATCGACCCAGGCAAAATACAAAAGGCAGAGCTCTCGCCCATCCCCTCTTTCCACTCTCTCCCCCCCCCAGACGACAAAGCAACACACCTGAAGTCGGGGGAACATAAAGTATACCCCGTAAAGGTTTTCATGGTGTTTTAGGGCATGTTTCTTGAACAGACTTATTTTGAGCAAGCGGGTACTCTCTAATTCAACCCCAAACCCTAAACTCAGGGACGTTCGGACGCCCTTAACCTGAAACCCTGACCTCAGGGGCAACTCAGCTGCATATTCGGCAATCTTGGCCCCCTAAACCCTAAACCCCAAACCCTAAACCCTAAACCCTAAACCCTAAACCCTAAACCCTAAACCCTAAACCCTAAACCCCAGCCGCATAGTTTGGGCTCTTTTGGCCCGAAGCTCGGAGGTCGCTAAGCTGGAGCAGGTCGGCGCTAAGACTCCCACCGCTGCCGCACGCCGAAGAGGAACCGAAGCTCCGACCCTTGGACCCACACAAAGGTTTCGGACTCAGGGTGTGGGGTTTAGGGTTTAGGGTTTAGGGTTTAGGATTTAGGGTTTAGGGTTTAGGGTTTTGGGATTGGAGGTGATGAGGGTGTCTTGGGGGTGTTAGTTGATTGGGGGTTTGTTTGAAGGATGACAGTATGGAAACGGTTCCTTATGAAACAAGGGTGTCTTGGAGTTTAGCATGTGATTGGGGAGGGGGGCACAACAGGGCTTGCTGCTTAAGAGGGCGATGAAGGCATTACAACGTCTTGATATCTTTGTGAAGGCCGTGGACGCTGGCTAGGAGGTTTTGAGGGAGGGGACGGCGAGCTTTCTGAAAACGTTGAAGAGTCTAGACTGCCCCTGCCACCGTAGACCCTAAGCTTAAAGAGAAGTTTCACAGTGGATTGGTTTCGCACCTGACAAAGCTCCCAGGAAGGCGGAAGAAGAAAGCGCCGAAAACGCCTCCGAGCCCGGTGAGGGGTGCCTCGGCCCTAAGCCCCAAACCCTAACAGCAATCTAGCGGCTCTTTGTCCAAAGCGGCTCAAAATGAAGACTGGGGGTTCAGCTGTCAAGAAACGAATGCGTCGAGTTGCGCATCTATCTCCCTACCGGTCTCTCTCTTTCTCTCTCTCTCTCTCTCGTCCTCTCTCTCTTCCTTTCTCTCTCTCTCTCTCTCTCCATTCCTCTCTCTTTCTTCCTCTCGCTCTCTTCCTCTCTATCTCTTCCTCTCTCTCTTCCTCTCCCTCTTCCTCTCTCTCTTCCTCTCTCTCTTCCTCTCTCTCTCTCTCTCTCTCTCTGTCTCTTGTTTGCTCGGACATGTCCATTCGAAACCCAGTTATGGGTCCTATACTGAGTACTTAGTTACCAGAATGAGGATACAGTGCTATATTTTTTTCGTTATATCATATCATCAAACCAACCCTATTCTGCTAGCTTAGTTCAAGTTCCTGAACAAGAGCTCAGTGGAACCCTAACCCCGAAAATTCTCTTATCCTGACAGCAGAGCGACAAGAGTTCTACCCAACCAAGGCCTTTGTAAACCCCAGGCTCAAAACCTCGACAACTTGGGTACTTATTCGGGTTCAAGTAGAAGAAGGGTCAGGGTTTCTTGGCTTTGGGTGGACCTCCTGCAAGTGGAAACAAAGCTGTAGCAGACTCTCAAGCCTTGAGGTAGAGATCTTGAAGTTGGTTGAGTGCAGAAGAACTAAACTGGCTAAACCCTAAACCCTAAACCATGGTTCACATCCTGGAAGGCAAGTTTGAATGGTGCCGTGGGGAGCCTTGTCGACAATAAGGGAGGAGTTGAATCTTTCTGCAGAGTTTCGTAAGTATGGAGGGATCCATTTGCCATTTATGTCTACGAGTCTGCGGGTTTACGAGTTGGGGTAGGTGGGGCCCCTACGTGCAGAGTTGCAGTTGCCTAAGTTGGGTTATAGGCAAAGGCAGGTGCTGTCCTTCGTGGTTCTGTTACCTCTTCGGTGCTGGGTTTAGGCTGACAGTCGGGCTGCGCAGACAGGTGAGTACTTGCGGCTTAGAATTTAGGGTGTAGTTGCCGAGTTGTTTTTTCGACTAGAGAGCCAACCTTGACAGTGCAGCGTGCATTCCGGAGGGATCTTTGTAGATCTTTTGAGCAATGGCGTGTTGGAAGGGATTCCTTCAACAAAACTCTCTGCCGATGGTTTTGTTGTTGCTTTGTGTGGGAGCCCATCGTGAGAAGCGGCCTGAGCCTCCAAGGTTTGCAGGGTAAAGAAAGGCACCCCAACATGTGGACCACGGCGCACTGCGCACTGTGCAAGCCCATGGACCATAGGCTAACTCCCTGTAAACCCCTCAACCCTCTCATCCCTAAGCTCCCTCAACTTGGGATGTCCTTATTTCATAGGGGGTACGATAATCCCTATTAAGGACGTTTAAGTATAAGAGGGACCATCCCAACTCTCAACCCTAACCCGGATCCCGTTCCCGAAGGAACTGCTCGGTCGAGGAGCCATGGCTTCAGTGTGGAAGGTTGGGTCCCAAGTGCAAAGCCCGCAACCCAACCCTACACCAAGATTTAAGATGCAAACCCTCAACAACCCTAGAACCCTAAACCCTAAATCCTAAACAACCCTAGACTAAACAACCCTAGAATCCTAAGTACTCAGTAGCACTGAGCTCGAAATATCCCTGAGCCTAAAGTGCAAAGACCACTGCTTCAACACGGCCAGAGGTCCTGGAATTGAATTGGAATGCTCCCCTCACGTGGCACCCAAACACCATAGCCAACACGGAAGCACTCTGGCCAAGCACCTTTAACAGTTTTCAGGGGGTTGGGGTTTGGGGTTTAGGGTTTAAAAAGGCCATCAGAGTTTAGCAGACGTTGGACATCTGCATCAATCAAGCTAAGCCAGCCTTGAGACAGATCACCTGCAAGACTTTTAGGGCTTTTGGGGTGTTCGGCTTTGAGGGTTTAGGGCTTTCAGGGTTTAGGGATTTAGGGCTTCTTGTAGGGTTTAGGGCATTAAGGGTTTAGGGATTTTAGGGTTTCTTTAGGCGTGGTGATTTGGTCTCGGCGGGGTAGGGTGGTGAGGGGGGGGGGGGGGGGGGTGTTCTTGAGGATCGGCGACCCGGGTGATCAACGCATCGGAAGTAGGGCCTTTTTGGGCGTGCCGTTGATGACAGGGTCAGTTCTCTAATCATGGTCCCTTTCTGGGAACCCTAAATATTAGGGGCCGCCTCATAATGCAGCCCCGAAATAGACCATGTGCACTTTTCGCTCTCCCAAACTCACATCACAAGCGCCCGCATTGCTCGCCATGTGGCGACGGCAGTTCTTTTGGGTGAACTTGTCCCTTTCACAATCTACTATTTGCTTAAAGAACCTTCCAAAAAAAGGAAAAACTGAAAAAAATGAAAGATGATAATCTCTACACGTCCCTTATAAGGACGTACATGTTTCACAACCCTGTGCATCCTCGACTGCCTCCGACCTCTTTGGTGAAAGCATCCCGGAGTCAGTAAGCCACAGTGTGGTCATGACACTTTTCGAGGGCTGCCCGTTTAGGGTTGAGGGTTTAGGATTTAGGGTTTAGAATTTAGGGTTTGGGGTTTAGGGTTTTTGGGGCGTACCCTTCCAAGCCTGCTGCAAGAGGGTTTTAGGGCTTGAGGCGGAAATTGAGCTGAACGAGCGCGTAGATACCGAGCAAATTCTTATACAGCCGGCTGGTGAAACAAGCACTTCTGTCGCTACCCGAAACCCAAGACGCAAACCGCAAACCCAAGAGGATCCTGAGAAGGGAGTTTTTCGCTATGTCAGACTAGACGTGCCTTGAAAGAGCCTCTGACTTCACTATGCGCACGATCCCTCAACAGAAGCACTTACCTGCTGGCAGGCGACATGCCGGCACACCGGCCAGGTGATGGCAGTGAAAGAGGCACGGGTCATGAAGGAACGCCAAGTGCCTGCCCTTAGAGGCTTCCCTACATCCAGGTAGACTTGAAGCAGCAGACGCATGAGAGCAGCCCCGAAAAAAACTTCTTACAACCCTAAACCCTACCCTAAACCCTAAACCCTAAACCCTAATAAGACCCTGGCAAGGTGCACCTTGAGATGGGAGATGAGGGTCGACCCCATGTGCCGGAGATGCTGGAGCGGGAGGCGTGGGCCGAAGGTTCCGGGGTTCAGGCTTTAGGAATTTTGGTTTAGGATGGGGTTTAAGGTTTAGGGTTTAGGGTTTAGGGTTTAGGGTTTAGGGTTTAGGGTTTAGGGTTTAGGGTTGTCCTAAAGGAGGACCATCATGTCTCAGGATGGTGTTACAAGCCTTATACACATCAGACCCACTAAGCCCGAGAAACACCAAAAGTGTATCGGGGTTTCGGGTATTGAGCTTGTAGCCTGCGCCCGAAGCCCCAAACACCCATGCTGGCTCGCAAACCCTGACCTTGCTAGACGAATCTGTTCACGTCTCATGTGAGGCGTCACGTTTCCATCGCTACAAACTGGCAAGCGAAGCTTTCGAAGCGTACAGGTGTCCATCCACTCCAGGCTGAGTCACTCGAAGCCTTGGCGGCAGTTGGTCATGCCGCGTTCAGAGATGTTTGGGGTTTGGGGTCTGCGATACATGCTACGCGCCTGTGTCAGAAGAGTAGAGTAGCGACATGCTATTTCCACGAACAGGGGCTGCTAAGCTTACGAGCTTGGTACCGTGCATTCTTTGGATGCAGCTCGCTCCACGCATGAAGCTCACCACGGTTCACTGAGGAACATTGTGGCCTTCCTCGGCACGGACATGCTGGCAGACAAAATGCACCTCGACATCTGAGCCATTGGGTGTTTCATCGCTGCTTCTGGGAGAATAGCTTAGTTAAGAAGCCTGTAGACTTACACCTTAAAACCAGAATAAGAATTCACAGGCGATTTAAGGGTTGTTCCTGAACTGACCTTGGAAGATCTGGGTTTCTTGTTGCTGGTACTTGAAGTGTCATGCGAAGATTTCAGGGGATTTTCCTCTCAAGCTTGCCATTTGTGTCAGCTCTGCTCTCTGTTAATACCTCGCCAAACATGGCGTTTGCAGATGAGTTTGTCACTGGTGCGGGACCATCAGTGGACACCAGCTACCCTTCTTATCCGACTTGTCCATCTTAAGGGCTTCATGGGCAGCCTTGGGGCCGAGCCACACCTTACCAGCTGCCCCCCCTCACGTCTCAATCGGCTGCTTTGCGGCAGCCTGACTTTGTCAGAGTCCGTGTCCGAGAATGGCTCGGAAGACGATGGGAGCTCCGGCAGCCCTTCGTCAAATGTGACGATTATGCCTCCTCCCGGGCTGAGCCACGACATCAGTGAAGTGGCAAAGGTTTACCCAGAGCCGCGACTCCATGGGAGTCGCACTAGGTACAGGCAGTCACTCCCTGTTGGACCCAGCACCATCTGTATTTGTTCATGCTAGATCCACAACATGTAGTGGGTTTTAGCGTTGGAACTATCAGACGCTACAAGGTGTTTACAAGTCACTGGCCAACACGTTCCGTCGCGGCTCTTTCACCAGCAATCAGGACTGCATGCAACGATCAGGTACCTTTGACAGGGGTGCGGGCAAGCGAAGCACCGATGGATCCTCCCAGAGCTTGGCAAAACCCTGTTTGTAGATTGTAAACGTGCAGGGTTAGGGTTTAGGTTTAGGGTATACGGCCATTGCTCGAATGCCCACAGAAGCCCCCGACACTTATCCTTCGCTGCAACGCGCCGGCCTGCGCACCCGTAGAACCATGGTGAACCTGATCAAGGGCTCGATGTCACCTGATGCTGCGAGTCGCAGGGTTTAGGGTTTAGGGTTTAGGGTTCAGGGTTTAGGGAGGTTTTTCAGCTGCTAACTTGAACTGGAACCTGCGACATCTCTGTGGCATCTTGCCTGATGTAACACGTGGGGGTCTTGGGGATGATGTTTGCCAAAGCAATTCACCTCATCCAGTTCCATCTCATTCGGCTCAGTGGCTAACCCACGGCATGAATGGATGCAAGCGAGCAAAATGAACTCGTCACCACGCCAGAAGACAAGGAAGAGGACGCGAACCATATGGTGGTCGGAAAAATTACGAATAGCATTCCCTTATGGTCCCTTTGTAACCATACTATAATAACCCCCAAAACCCTATTCTAAGTATTCAATCCCCTATATCATGCAGTTCGGTGTACACTCACGGGCCCTGGACCCTACGTATATCTACCCATGAACCTCCCCAAGCGCCACGAAGAGTGAGCTGTCTGTGGCAAGTTGCTCCAGACTCCTCCGGAGGCACATCTTCCTGGAGTACATGTCCTGTGGCTCCTTGTACCATTTGCTGCAAACAAGAGGCTACTTGGAAAGATCCAGTTGCTTTTGCTTCGCGCGGAGTGAGCAGGACTTAAGCCCGCAGCCAACACCCCAAGCCAGAAATATTCAGGAGAGAGGGAGAGAGTAACAAAGCGGCCGCATGCGGGAGCCGAACTCTAAATATTGAAGCCACTTTCGCAAAATTTATTCATGGCTGTTGTGTGGCACTGCCCCCCGTCAACGGGCTAGTGAATAAAGATCCCCTCTAAACACAGTTTTTTCATGGAGGCACTTATTCACTTCATGCCCAGAGCTTGTGGATGAACGAGTAAACGACTGTAGAAAGAACTGGGTGTGATGTGGTAGAAGCTGTACCAATACACGGGGCTCAGCACGGTACTTGGTCAAAGTAATCTCGAAACGCCCATGTTTAAATTAAGGTTTAGGGTGTACAGGGTGTGTTCTGGTGTGTTACAGGGAATCTCAGGAATAATTTTAAGTAGGGTTATAAGAAAGAAGTGTGGTAACTATAGTACTTGTATCCCTATTTAGGGTGCTTGTATCCCTGCTTATAACTACTCATGAACCTACTTGAAGGTTGAGGATCTTGGGTTACGGGTCTACGCCCTGTGCCAAGGACCGCTACAGGAGCTAAAGACAGCGAGCTATGCCCAGCAGGTGCTAGAGGGAGTGCGGCTTGGTCGTTTCAGAAGCACCTTGAGAGCGCGATATACCCTCTTCATTCATAGAATCCCTCATCAGGGTTTGGGCTCCTGATCAGTTGTAGTTCCTTCATGCGTGGGGGAGGGGGAATGGGCTTGCAAAAAGGTGTACACAAGTTCTTTGGAAAAACAAAATGCAAAAAGCAGGTCGCCAGAAAAACTAATGCAATCGCGTTGCGTGGCCGTGACCTGCTTGACAGTTTCTTAGAAGAACATAATATAATTAGTGTACCCTGTATAATCTTTGAAGGGGGAAATTCCTTCCTACTCAGAGCCAGTAGGATTCAGGGAGGGGTCCAGGCCTTGGGGTTTCGGGAACCAAAAGAACAATAGACACCACTTAGTTCTACGCATCTGCCCCTGAATTCATCATTTTGCCTTGGTTGATATTGTAAGGGTCCCTATATATATATATATATATATATATATATACGTATATATATATGTATATATATATATAACGTCTACATAGTAAGGGTCCCCTCTATATGGTAAGTTCGTGGTCTTAACCAAAAATAGGTATTGGGCCTCTGGGAGCCCGTACGACAAGCGGCGTGCATGCCGACTTCTGGCAAACACGTGGCTTCTGCACCCGGTATGCGTGATGTCACCAGAGTGGGCTGACAGGGTTTAGGGTTTAGGGTTTAGGGTTTAGGGTCATCACCCGCTAAGGTGAAACAAGGTGAAACGCTGTACCTGGGCCGGGTAGCCGAACCAAGAATCCAACGCCTGCTTCCCAACCTGCTGCGATCGTTGTCCTTTCGCGCGCAGTGCTACCCGCCACGGTTGCTGCTCTGAGGTCCCATGACTCTGCTGTTCATACAAGAAACTTTGAGAATTCGGTACCCTATATAATCCCTTAAAGGGCTATGTAGGAGGATATAACAAAAGCGAGGAATCGGGTCTCATATGAAGAGCGGGGCAAGTGGTCGACAGAGGTACAAGTCACGCGCATTGGCAATGACCTTGGAGGGTCATTTGGGTAGTTTTCAGTGGAGTTCGAGGTATGGTACCTTGACATATCACCCTAAAAATAAGGGCACTTAGAACCCTACTTATAATTACTATTTGACTTATCACCCTATTTAGGGTACTTAGAACCCTACTTATCATTACTCTTGAAGGCCCTTGCACCTCCAAGTAGCCTGAAGGCTTGGGGCTTCCAGGTCTGCGCCCATCGGGGATGAGGCTTAGAAGGGTGGGCCTTGGGATGCTCTCCCCCTTATACTAAGGGTTTAGGGTTTAGGGTTTAGGGTTTAGGGTTTAGGGTCTAACAGCTCCTTAATAGGGATTATCGCACCGCATATTCTAATTCCCGTCGAGGACTGTTCGCATGAGGGGGAACATCCCAATGTCGGGCCAAAAGAGCAGCAGTCATCTGAACTTCTTCATCGACCCCGGCGGGCGACAGCTGACTGACCCGATAGTGTACCTTAAACCCTAAACCCTAAACCCTAAACCCTAACCCACAAGAGGAAGTTCTCTTCCCAAGCAAAGGCACTACCTGCACACGCGAAAGCCTTCAGTCCTTCACCGTGACCTGAAGACTGCCAACATTCTCCTAGGCAGCTTGGGGGGAGGGTTTAGGGTTTAGGTTTTAGGGAGAGTCTTGGAGGGGCTTCCGGTTGCCGAACTCCGTGCTGTAATGGCTCCGCCTGACCAAGTTCACTAGCAAAGGCAGCAAAGGTGTGTTAGAGTAGTAGTATTAGTAGTAGTAGTAGTAGTAGTAGTAGTAGTAGTAGTAGTAGTAGTAGTAGTAGTAGGAGTAGTAGTGGTAGTAGTAGTAGTAGTAGTACTAGTAGTACTAGTAGTACTAGTAGTACTAGTAGTACTAGTAGTACTAGTAGTAGTAGTAGTAGTAGTAGTAGTAGTAGTACTACTACTACTACTACTACTACAAGAACTACTACTACCACTACTACTACTACTACTACTACTACTACTACTACTACTACTACTACTACTACTACTACTACTACTACTACTACTACTACTACTACTACTACTACTACTACTACTACTACTACTACTACTACTACTACTACTACTACTACTACTACTACTACTACTACTACTACTACTACTACTACTACTACTACTACTACTACTACTACTACTACTACTACTACTACTACTACTACTACTACTACTACTACTACTACTACTACTACTACTACTACTACTACTACTACTACTACTGCTACTACTACTACTACTACTACTACTACTACTACTACTACTACTACTACTACTACTACTACTACTACTACTACTACTACTACTACTACTACTACTACTACTACTACTACTACTACTACTACTACTACTACTACTACTACTACTACTACTACTACTACTACTACTACTACTACTACTACTACTACTACTGCTACTGCTACTACTGCTACTACTGCTACTACTGCTACTACTGCTACTACTGCTGCTACTGCTACTACTACTACTACTACTGATGAGGCGCAAGTGCGAGTGGTTCCCTTGAAAAGCAGATGCCTAAGCTTGCATCCCTAAGCACGGCCGAAGAAAGCAGGGTTTAGGGCGTCAGAATAATTACTAATCATATTCCCTTATGGTCCCTTTGTAATTATACTACAATAACCCCCCAAAAACCCTATTCTAATTATGCAGGCCCTTAAACCCTAAACCCTAAAACCCTAAACCCTAAACCCTGTGTTAGGGTGTCGGGTTTTGGGCTGGTCTTGGGCTGCAGGTCCAAACGGTGTCGTAAAGTTGGCTGACTTCGGCTGTGCGAAGCGAGTGTGCCTTGACTGCAAGTCAACATTGCTTCAGTTTTGACTTGCCCATTATTATCATCATGATTACTATTATCATCATTATTATTAGTATTATATTTATATATATATACACACATTTTTTTAATAACCTTTTTTTGGGGTGTTGGGTTCAGGGTCTAGGGTAGCGCCAACGTGCACATCTCGATTTGCAAGCTTCAGATTGACAATTCAGTGTTGCAGGCCCTTGAACCCTAAACCCTCAACCCGGGGAATATGTCAGCATGTCAAGAGTTCTATGCGGGAAAAAACAGTAGAAACCCTAAACCCTGGCTGTTACACTGAGGTCCGGCACTGCAATGCACACGCTGCGTGGCTCCGTTCAATGGATGGCACCTGAAGCTCGATGTTGCAACTACAGTCTTCTCACTTTGGCAGATGAGGTGTCGGGTTTAGGTTTTGGGGTTTAGGGTTTCGGGGGTGCTTCTGATGCTCAGAGCCTGGGTTCAAAAAAGGGGTGTTTCTGAGATTCTTCCGAGCCACTCAGCAACGCTGGAACCGGGATTGCTAAGGAAGTTCTCAACCAGCAGCCCTACGGCAAAACTGCTGACATTTGGAGTTTTGGGTGCGTATTGGCTTCTTGGCATGGATGGATGGAAACTCCACATGTCCCGGCTTGTGCAGATCACTCTGCGCTCCTTGTAAGTTGTGCGTCCCATAGGAACTCTCGAGTAGGTGTGGCATGTCAAGCTCCTGATGTAGGTTCCCTTCTAAGCCCCTTTCGGCCAAAGAGGGTACCCCTTTTGATTCCTAGGTTACTCTTGGGCCCTTGGGTCTGGGAGTTTTTTGTCGCGTGTGCTGACTCAATGACGCCTGTGATTTCAGTTCGCATGTGCAAAGAGGTGCGTGTCGGCAGACCCAGACACTACCATATCCCTCAATAAGGGAGTGTTCCTTCATTTGTACGAAGAATTTCAGTATGATTCAAGGAGTTTCCTTGAATTCCGAGATAGTGCGGTCTCGGGGCGTCTCTTCGGTAGGTTCCTAGGGCAGTAGACCTGGAGCGAGCCCAGAGCCCGCGTGACCGTCTGCGCACCAAGCTTAGATGGAATGCGCTTCAGATCTTTGAAGCTTAAGGTGCTCAATCTCTTAGGAATTGCCAGATGAGGGTTTAGGGTTAAGGGTTTAGGGTTTAGGGTTTAGGGTTTAGGGTTGTATGCTAGCTGCTGGACGAAGCCAGATAGCTCGAGCAAAGGTCGAGATGATTACGGGCAAGGCGCCTTGGGGTCAGTTTGAGACGAGCATCGCGGCGATGATCCACGTGGCCACCGTTCAGGCTGGCATGTGCGGCTTGAGGGTTTTAGGGGGCGTAGGGGCGGTGGGCTCCCTGCTGCATGTGTCAGCTGTGATTCGCTAAAACGGCTACCCCACAACTGTTCGCAACGGCCGCACGCACTCTGTGTCTGCGTGTGTGTGTGCGCGTGTGTGTGTGGAGAAGGGAAAGGGGAAGGGGGTTGTTCGTTCTTTGGCTCCCTCACTGTGCGGGCAAAGTGGGGGTGTTCAGGTGCTTAGCGTTTCAGGGCTTGAGCCGAATTCAGCATTCGTTTGAATCTATTTTTGTGGGGAATATACCTGACACCCTCGCTCCCTTACACTCCCTTACACCCCCCGGGTAGTTTTTCAGCAGCGAGCCCGCCGAGCCTTGTTGGCAGCTGTTCTTGCCAGGTGCTGCCTCCGCTGCCCGAGCATGTGGCCTGAGCAGTTTGCGGGATTCGAGGGCGTGGAATTGTCGGTCCTGAACCCTGTGCCCGAAACCCGAATCCCATGAAGCCCTAGCCCTAAACCCGACTCCCTGGTTCTTAGTATATACCCTTTAAGGGATTGTCTGGGTTCCCTCATTCTCTACTAAGAACCACCAAAACTCTGAATGGGTTTTTGCAAGGCTGGGCTGAATGATCGTCTGCAGGGGTTTGTGTCTCCCAGGTCACAGGATGAGTTCCGGCAAACAGGCGCTGAGCCCTCCTGCCCAGGTCAGCCCGGACCTACGAGATTTAGTGGCATCCTGCCGCTCGGCACGCATCATCAGGACCCCAAAAAATGGCCCAAAGGAATATCTAAAAAACGCAAAACGGCCCCCTACCTGCCCCCCACCCCGTTTGATGAGGGAATTCACCTAAACCCCAACCCCTAACGTTGCCATTTATCAGGAAGCGAAGACTGCCATGCTTAAATTTGACCGTTTGCTTGTTCGGGGAGTAGGTTCTTTGTGAGACGTGGTGCTACCTTGCTTTTGGTCGGTGATCCGATTCATGATGGCATCTGAAGAGGTGTTGGCGCCGACAGAGGTCTTTGACTAAACCCCTTGTATACATTGGGATGTCCCCCTTGTACTAGCCACTAGCAGTCCTTAACAGGGATCATAGTACCCCTATTATAATCCCTGTTAAGGAGCTGTTTGCATAAAGGGGGTACATCCCAATGTATACAGTTTTGAAAAAAATTTGGGTCGCTTGCAGGATCCGTCGCAAGCTTGGCCACCGGCTTTCTCACCACAACTCGTGCAATTGGGGACTACACAACCCCTCAGGGTTTAGGGTTTAGGGGCTCAAGGTTCATGGTCCATACTGTCCCAAACCCAAAACTCTTGGGCCTCTCGTGAGAGCCGAAATCCACCAGCACTGAGGCCTCAAAAGCAGCGTGATGCTTAAGCAAGCCTTTAGCGACTTGGGGGTTCAAGGTTTAGGGTTTGTATAGGATTGAGGGTGCAGGGTTTAGGGTTTAGGGTTTAGGGTTTAGGGTTTAGGTTTTAGGGTTTAGGGTTTAGGGCCAAAGCCTCAAACCCTTCTCTTTCGGTGGGAGCTGCAGAGGCACCTGCGTCGCCCCGCGCGAGCGACCGAGTGCCCGGAAACTACTTGCACATCGTAGCCCGGCAAAGTTGGGGGCTTGGGCTCTACACGGTTGTGCGGTGGAGGCCTCAACCTGGAACCCTCAACCCCAACCCCTAAACTACTATTTGCTTAAGAACCCCAAAAAACTGTTTAAGAAGTCCCTGTATTTCCCTTAAAAGGAATCATACCCTCATTGTTTTGGGGATTCTTAAGCAATAAAACAAACCAGACATGTAGGTTCGACCTCCTGCCAAGGGATGCAGGTTTCTGGGAGAAGGGTCGCAGATGTGGAGCACGTGAAGATTCATCATGAAAACCTTCGCATCCTCGACCACAAGCCCGAAAGCTTTGAATCTGCAAATGTCCACTGCCTTACTTGGAGGTTCATGGGTAGCTATAAGTAGGGTTTAGGGTTTAGGGTTTAGGGTAATTTTAGGGTTTAGTAGCTATACTTTTACCCTTATTCAGGGTACTTATAACCCTGCTTGAAACTACCCGAGTGAACCTCCAAGTAGGGCATCGGCTGTGTGGAGCTTGGTTTAGGGTTTAGAGCTTAGGGTTTAGGGTTTGGGGTTTAGGGTACCCCTCGCCCCTTAGACTTTTTCTGCGATCGACGATCTAAGGTGTGGCTAATTTTGGTGTTGGGAGGGTGGCGCTTGTCGCATATTCAAGGGGGCCACTACTGACTCACTACTGATATATACGCATACACAGAAAGATTTGTTTTGGGGGGCGGCGCTTTGCAACTCCGCCAATGACAAATCACAACAGAAATGCGAGAACTCACTGTGAGAGAACTGCGAACTGAGTTGCCTTAAGTAGTTCAGGGATCCCTAATTGGTTTAAGGACTGTTCCTTACCTAAGGGGTTTTGGGCTTTCTGGACAACCTTACCATTCCCCAGCTGCATGTGTATACAGCTGCTCAAGACCCTAGAGAGCGGATGCCTGTTCGTTTGTTCCTGCACGCAGCTTGTTTGAAACCCAACAGGAACCCAGAAATTCCAGCCAAACCCAAAACCCTAAACCCTAAACCCTCAACCCTCAACCCTCAACCCTAAACCCTACACCCTAAACCCTAAACCCTAAACCCTAAACCCTAAACCCTAAACCCTAAACCCTAAACCCTAAACCCTAAACCCTAAACCCTAAACCCTAAACCCTAAACCCTAAACCCTAAACCCTAAACCCTAAACCCTACCCAAATCGATAGGTTTCATCACAGCAGCCTCACTTCCAGAAGTGGAGAGTCCTTCGCTGCTTGTTTGTGCCGTGGCTCACATTATGTTATACTTGGACGTAGGGTTATAACTTTCTACCTATGCTTATAACCCTTGTACAGTTAAAAAAAACTTATAGCGCTAGATACTACCCATGAACCTCGAAGTAGGAGTGCATGGGCAGTCGTTGTGACTCGTTTCAGCATGCACCGCCGGAAAGGTATGCAAAGCTCTTCATGTACGCATGGGCCCCAAGGAATGTAGAACTCCTGGACCCCAAAAAGTAGAACTTCCGGACCCCGAAAAGGCTTGCAATACAGCGCTTGGGAGTCGAACAGGAATTTGCAGGTTAGAGGTTCATGGGTAGTTTGAAATAGGGGTGCAACTTGGTCGTAAGAAGGATTCTTCGCAGGATAGCTACAGTTCTAGCTGATTCGAATGGCTTTATTCCCCGTATTTTGGGGCGCAACCCGATTTTCCATTACATGAATCTCCTAGAGGGGCCCGGGTTGTCGTAGCATCGCAAGCCTTCTAGTACAGTGTAGTTACCGGTGTCCCCTGTCCAGTTCAATAGCTGCTTACACGTAAGTCAGTCAGGGCTTGCCAGATTGGAGCATGCGGCCCTGCTCAGGACACATTTGCATTGGGGCTGCGGAGGTCGCGATGAAAGCGGCCGGCTGCCCCACACATGAGAAAAAAAACAGCTTGGAATTCGGATTATAAGGGCCTGCCCAAGGCGCTGATTGCACCCCGTGCATCGCGTCCTACACGTGGCCGGTTCCAGCAGGACAGAAGGTAAGTGGGCAGCCTTCGCATATGGCCTGATGCCTGATACGCAAAGGTTTCCTGAAATTTTTGCACGAAAGGATGCTTGCACTATGGGTTCTGACACGAAGTGTGGAGGGTGTCTCATGAGGGGCGGGGGAGCAGCTGAGCAGCTTTGGGGCCCCTGCCATTTCACGAATTTAAGCACATTTCTGTTGAAAATCGAGTTCCTAAAGACTCCAATACCCCTTAATTAAGGGATATTCCTTGGAGTATATAAGGGCTCCTTAGGGAATATTCCTTAATGAAGGAGTATTGGAGTCTCTGGCAGGCACGCGCGGGCTTCTTGGGACGCTGTTTTCATTGGCAGGCTTTTTGGACCATCTCAGAGCCCTTGTGTTCGTGCTCTGGGGCCAGCTATTGGGGATCTACAGTTATCCTGTGCCCCTTTGTTGGAAGGCTTCGAGATCGCTTCCATGGTCCCAATCGCACTCCCATCCCGGCCCTGTGCGTATGACTCCTGGCGAGGCGTAGAGTCGTTGCATATGCCGTCCAGATCGTGCTCCCGTCCTGTGCTCGCTCCTTGTGAAGTGCGGAACTGTCATCGCTGTTGGGCTGATGTCCTGTTTGGGGTCTACGCCTTCGCAACGTGTTTTGAAAATTTGAGTCGGTTCTAGTAAGGATGCGCCATGAAAAGTACAAGTGGTCGCTGCTCTAAATGATGGTCCCTTTGAAGGGTCCTTATTATAAGGCGGCCCCTCATATTTGAAGGAAGCAGGGTTTTTTCAAGCACTGACCAATTGTCTCAAGGCTTCCCAGAACACGCTTACTTGTGGCATCAAGCAGTCTTGAGGCCAGGGCCCGGCGTGAGGCTGACCAATGGGCTTTGTTCTGCTTGTTCCTTATTCTGGAATTCTGCGGTTCTGTCCCCCGAGAGTCGGGTTCGAAGTGTCGGCATGGGGATAAGTACCTGAAGAGCAGGGAATTATTAGAGGCTTAAGCTTTCGGTTCTAGCATTAGGGCGACAACAACCCCTAAACCCACGGGGCCCCGGCTTTGGGCCTTGCCTTTGCACTGGGCCTCCTTCCAGAGATCAGGACGGCACCTTGAACCTAGGTCCTCGAACAGCAACCGGACATTTATGGAAGGATCTTGGAGACACCTCCGATGATCATCTTTAAATGGAGCTGCACTCTTCTTCGCCTGGTAGCCCTCTGGAGCAGCTCTGCCTTTGTTGCAGAACTGTTCGAAATTTCCCGCGCGTGCAGAAGTGCAATACAAACCCGTTGGGCCCTAGCCCCTGTTGAGAGCCTAGAGTTGTGCGGTGGTTTACAGCTTTTTAATTTTGGGCAGTGCCCAGTTCGTGGGTTTCGACATCCGACCTAGAGAACACATGATCCCGGTTGTTCAAGTTTGTATGTTCAAGGTTGTATGGTTTACTCTAGGTCTACGCCCAAGACCCAAACCTTCATGCATACTTCAAGTGCTACGATTGCATGCGCTGTAGATCTTTGCAAGAGATGCGCTCCGGACTACTTCGGGCTGCATTTGCCTCTTGGCATTGGAGAGTGTTCAGGGTTTAGAGATTTTTCTGTTTCTGTAAGTCCGACTCCCGGCACGTTGCTCCCAAGCCCTACTTGGCTCCAACATTTTTCTTGGACTGGGCACGGGGGGGTCCTGCAACTAGGGGTACTAGTTTATAAGGTGTAGGGCTGCAGGTATCTAGAGAGGGCTTTGCGGGCCTCGAGGCTTGAAAACTTGGTCATGGTTTGCTGTGCAGGAGGCTTCTAGTTTAGAGCTTCGGGTTCAGGGCTGAGGGGGTTTGAAAGTTTGAAATAGGATCGTGGGATGACACTGGCATCGTTCAGAGCCTTGGGTATTGCATCT